AAGTACAGATATTAAAATTTCTTTAGTTAGTCTTGAAGTTTATGTTTTCTCTCAACCTACTTCCACATAATGTTTCTTTCATTTTTCAAGAAATGCATTGAAAAGAAAAAATGATAGTAATGACATAACAAACGCCGGATGAGTTTTTGTGAAAAAATGTTGTCGTTGTAATATGCAACATTTAAATACTCGTGAGATACTGCATAGTAAATCTATGATGTCAGCCCTATTATCGCATTTGCATGATAATGATGCCTCTTGACAGCTTTTGTGAATACGAGTATTATCATTTCAAAGAACTTGCTTAGTCTTTTGTTTACTATTCTGAAATAAGGGGAAGAATTGGATCATTCATTGCACACGAGATTCATTAAAAATCTTTTCCAAGATTCTTCATTTTTTATTTTTAGATCGCTAATCAATTTTAAAGAATAATACTTATACTTATAATCCGCCTTATTGATCTTAATCTAATCTAATTCAATTTAACCTAACCTAACTTAACCTTTCAAATATAAAAAACGTTTCGTGTTGGTTTATTGCGTAGAAGAAAGAATTTCACCAATAAATCGAACTGTTTCCTTGAATTTCCAAAAGTTTCGTGTATGTGGAATTTACAAAAAATATGGTTCACTATCTTGTTATTAATATTCTTGGCGACACAGCCGTTGCCATTCCTGCATGCGAATCAGCTGATCGTGCACGGCGAGACAAATTTCAGGAAGGGAAAGTTCCGGGATAGTGAACTTGTTTGAAATTGAATCGAACATATCCTGGAGATTTTCATATTCTTGCGTCATTCGCTTTTTATTCTTATTTGTTTCACGCCAAAAACTCTTTTGATATTGGAAACACGGTGAAGAAGCAACTAGTGAATAGGAGAATTTTAATGGATCTCGAAAGGAGTAATTCTGAATATATATTTGTCAGGATATTTTATTTTTTTATTGATTATCGTTTATGTTACTTTTTGAATTTTTTAATTTCAATTCAAATGCCACAGGAACGCCTTGTTTTATTTTCTTAAACATGAAATAAATACAAAGGATTCGAGTTTTAAGGAAAAAATTAAAATATTCGAATTATGCTTTGTTTTATCAAAGTTTTTGAATCGGAAAAATTTAACAAATCAAAATTTGACATACAAAGATTTCGTACATAATATTTTTCCAATTATACAAAAAGAGAAAATATAATTTTTAAAAGAAAAAAATTCCTAAGCATCATGTTTTCGCATATTTTCAGAGGTAAAATAAAAAAAAAAATAAGCATCGAGTTGATTATTAGTAGATTATTACATATAATTATTTCAAATTATAGAAGTAATTTCATAATAATATAAAAACTTCACAATAGAACTAAACTTTAATTGATAAAATCGGATTATTTTGAATTTTAATTATAAAGATAAAGTAAACCAAATATTTTGATAAATTCGAGTTAAAATGAAAACGTATATTTTGACTTAAAGAAATTTTGGAATGGAAAAAAATAACAAAATTCTAATATAATGGTTAAAATATATATATTTGCACATATCTTTATTTTTGAATTATTATTTCATTATATTTCACATTTTTATTATCTAATTTTTATAATCATATGAATATAAAAATATTACTATATTTTTTTTTGTAATTATCATAATTAATATTTAAATACTACAATATAATGATGTGCAAATATTTTCTATAGTCATTATATATGTATGTATTTACACTCTTGTCTATACTTCAGTAGACAATGCAGGAATTGAAATATGAATACTTTAATTATAACAAGATATTGATATTAAATCTATCATTTGGATTTTAAGAAAATACTATATTTTAATAATTTTAAATTTTAATATTCTAACTTTCATTCATTAAACAATAATAATAATTCGCATTATTAATAAAAAAAAAACATCATTGAAAAATTCTCTGATTAATTCACATATCATCAATAGATATTACACAAAGTAAAAATAAAAATTCTTTATTTATCTAAAAACATCTTATTTTATTCTTTATTATATCTAAAAAATAAAAATACATATATGATTTATCATAGTGCTATAAATATTTTTATATTTACTTATATTAACTTTAATATTTACATGAAAATATTATTAAATATTACTAAAAAATATCAGATACAACATATTCGATCTAATATATATACATAATTAATATTCAATTGTTATAATAAATACAATAGTGTCGAATATAATACTCAATATAACACTCTAGTAGTCACCGCAGAGATTTTCAAATATATAAAAATTTGACTGGACAATTAATTAGATAATTAAATAAAAATTCAATCAATATCTGAATAACAAAAAGCGTCGTATACAATTACAATTTATTTTTATCATATTACATATATATATATATATATTTTCGTAATAATTTTTTATTTGCGTTGAAGTCAGATCGATTTGAAAGCGACAAACGATTACGTAAAAACGGACGTCATATCGATACGTTTTATTCTTGATCAGCGTAGCATGACCGTGGCCTTGACGCGGTCAAACCTTGTTAGATAATTATCGGGACCGTTACGGATCGAGATTCATACTCGAAGCGATTCCAAGTTACAGCTGAGATGCATCCTCAGGTTTAAACAGATTTATCGCCACATGTTTCTGATCAGCGTCATGGATTTCTGTACGGTACCGGATACCATTTCTGTGTTACGATATCTCCTCACTTCCGTGCTCTTATCTTGCAAATTCTCATAAATTAATTTATTGTATAACAAGAATCGCGATAAATATACAAGGTGTTCACGCTATTCGTTTCCCAGTGTTTTTCTTGGAACTAACTAGATTTTAGGAAAAAATGAAATAAGCAAAATTTCCATTTTTTTGAATTTATAATGGTAATTGTATGAATGGTATGATTTTTTTAAATTAAATATATCTCTAATTTTTCTTTTTTATACTTTATGATATTTACTTGATATGATAACGATACAAGTTATCGATATTATAAGATATCAATAATGAATGAAAATAATTAGAGTTATAAATTTGTCTTGTTCAAAATTATTATTGTTATTAGGATTATTATATTTAATTAATTACAAATAATATTTTTGTTATTATTATTATTATCTTAATAAGAATTGATCGAATAAGAAGAATTAAAATTTTTGGTCAGTTTTATTCATAAACGATTGATATTATTGATATATCAAAAAAGTATCAATAAAATATCGATAATGTATCGACAATTAACAGTTATAATTTTAAATTGTGGAGATGATATTTTATATGACAAGATTTAATAAATAAACGATAGCAGAAAAGAAGTTAAAAGATTGATCGAATTCTTTTCATTAATGAATATCTAATAAGAAATAAAATTCTAAGAATTTTTAATATTTTGTGAATTTTTGAAAACCTTCGATGATGATTGATTTCAATCTATCAAAGATATATTCCAACAACTTTTGTAAAGTTAACATGACGAATGTTTGTTGTTTCGCGAATTTTTTTCAAAAGACTTAATACATTGCCTTAACAGATTTAGTAATTGCCCATTAACGGATTTAGATTAAGCCCTTTTTTTACCCATTAAATTTTATTATATATAATAGAATTTTTCTTTTTATTGAATTTTTCCCTTCAGTTCAAATCATAAAATTTAATTATCAATTTAGAAAAATTATAGAATTTTTATTTCACAATCAATTTTGTAAATTTAAAATTAAAATAAAAATTTATTCTAGTCATTGCATTGCGCATAAAAAGTAATTTTTTTTTTTTGCCTTTTATACTCTCTTCTAAAATTATAATATTAAAAGAACATTGGAAACTAAATAGCGTGAATATCTGTATGAAACGAAGAATTATGATTGGTAATTATAGTAAGAACATTAAGATTCATTATGAAAATGAAATTCATAATTTTCACGAAATGAAGAAAGTTTAAGAGTAATAGGACTTCACATAACTTGGTTATGTGAAATGTAAATTATTTACAATTGCATTAACAAGTGTTAACCAACTTGAACGGATATTTGTTACGACATAAAAGGAATCTTCAATGCTTCCAACGTGTCCGAGCAAACATGTAAAATTGTGTATTTAACCAAATGGATACTTCTTTGTCATCACTTTCTATTGAAACTATATTAAGCAATTTACAAGTTTTCTATAAAAATTGTATAATTGTTAAATTAGAAAGTTCCGTGTTTCTCAAATGGCTTGTTTCCATGTTTTACGAAGATTAAAACAGTATTCGAAGCAACTTTTCAATAGATTCTATTTTTAACCGTGAGACTTTTTTCGTTAAAAAACTTCTCGCATGATAAGTTTCGATGAGAATTTTAGTATGAATGCTTATAAAATGTAAAAATAAAAAAAAATTTTGTTGATTTATTATATACTTTTAATAAATTATTAAATATTTTTCTCATTATAATAAACATTTAAAAAATTATCATTAATAAATATTGAATGTTTCGGTGAATAAGTATTAAATAATATTCTTTATTCTATATAAACGTATTAATAATATGGTATTATATTGTTAAATAAAAGTTAAATATTAATTTGATTATTTTATCTTTTTACTTCTTTCGTGAATTAATTTCCATGAAACTTTTACATGCAAATTCTAAAATATTTGTTCCATAAGAATATTTTTTTTAACACATTCGTATATTTATATACTTTGAAATATATGATATAACTATGAATAATATATTTAATTAAATATTGTATAACTTTAATTACTTTAAAATCTTTCGTTTATCATTTTTATGTAAATATATATAATAAACTCGTGCGAGTATTGGTCATCACATTACACTAAATAGGAAAATCCTTAATAAGGCTTGTCTTCATGAAAATTTTATAAATATATTCTTAAACGAAATATACATATAAGTTCAAACAGAATTTATTTAAAAACGAAAGAAAACTTTATTTTGATTTCTGCTTTAAAAGTTCGTCATCTCTTGTCGATATCATAATAATAAATGGAATCATTTTCATTATTATTTCTTCATTTATTACTTTTGATTGATATTATAACATCGTTTGACGAGCATATTATTTCTTATAAATCTAGATACGTCAAGACACCGCGAATTGGTATTTACGTGGAAAATTTAAGGCAACGATGATTGTGAGTGTTGATAGTTTTTGACGTCTAACTGGTGTAATTGTGTACAGACATGTAGTAATATACCATGCATAACAGGAAACATTAATACGTGGCATTGTTCGCTATTTCCCGCCAATTCAGATCCCGCCAATCAAGTTTTTATCAAGTTCATTTTCTTTGTCGTTAAATCTTCATTTAGTAATTTTATTTATCTTATCTTTAAAATGTTGAAAAAAAAGAAAGAAAGAAAAAATAAGAATGCAAATAAGAAGATATTAATCTTGGGATTTGGATTCTGAAAAATAGATTCTAAAAATCAAAATAAATATAAAAGTTTCGATAATTTCGATCGAAAATTATTTTATTATCAAATCATAAGATCAAATTATAAGAAGAAACAAAAATAGACTAATGAAAATAGAACTTTATCTAATGCATGTTATAAGCATTTTAAATTGCATTAATAAACAAGCTTCGATATTTTCATATATCAACTTTTGTTTTGGTCTCTTAAAATTCTTTTAATCTTTAATAATTATTATATTTAAGCTTGCATGTAATTTTATTTTTTAAAGATTATTTAATTAAAAATTGCTTTGATTCAAAATATTATTTAAAATTTTAAAATTTATTTTATTGTTTAATCTAATTTTTATTTATTAATTTTATTAGCTGTAAATCTATTATTATTATAAATCGAATAGGCAAATTTTGCTATTTCTTTAATACCAATTTTTCCTCATTTTATATTTATACTTTAACACGCGTTTTAAAATTATACTTTCATTTTTTGATATTAATTTTTAAATATTGGGAATACATAAATATGTATGTTTTGTGCTATAATTTAAGTCTCAATCCTAATTTAATTATACAATGTTTTGATCACTATTTCTTGTGCATTACCATCGAGAATGAAACATTTATTAGCTTTTATTATCACTGAAAATTATTAAGATATCTATTCCACAATATGTATTCGAATTTTCACAACTCAACAATTTCTGTAAGATTAAAATTTTATATTTTTTTTATTGCATGTCAAAAATCTCTATTAATCGAAATACAAATATATATCTTAAATTATTATTTTTGCAATTTGAATTCAAAATAATCCAATATATTAGTTTAATACAATATTCAGTCTGTAAGTAAAATTAAAATAATATAATGTGTTTATAATTATATCCTTTGACTTAATTATATATTGCAGTTAATAATTCATTCGATTATATTCAAAAAATGTTTTTAAACTTTCAAATGTTAAATGCTCGAAACTTATGAATTTTCCTTTTTTTTTTTTTTTGAGTCCCTTAAGGAGATAATAACATTCGAGAGTAAAACTTGTGATCCCAAAAGTATTTTTCGCAAGTAACACTTATCTTCAAGAATAACTTTCTTTCACTCTCAACTTAGTCCTCGATGACAAAAAATAACTTCGAGAAAAATCCTGATACAAAATTTCTGTATATTCAATTTTCGTTTATTAAATAAACATCTCTTATTCAAAAAACTTTAATAAAACAAAACTTACATATCCCAATTTGTTATCTTTTTTTTAATCAATAAGAAATTACATTCCAACGTAATTTTTACATAGATTTTACAATGCATCGTTACAATTTTTTTCAATTATCAAAAGTGATATTGTTAATTCAACAAATTAAACATCCCAACTTTCAATCAATTTATTACATTCCGTTATGCATTATCGTCAACATCACACTTATTCTCAAATAAAGAATCCATCTCGAAAGGAGGAGTCATCGAGGTTTGGTTGCTATAAAAAAATATAAAAAAAAAAAAAAACACCAAAATCTCTCACGATTTCCCCCCCCCTCTCCCCCCCCCCCGCCCTCCTCACGCAAACGCAATCGGACGAAGACAAATGGACGACAAGGGAAAAGTTCGAAAATTCGCCGGTCGAGCGCGAACGAGTGGGATCAAGATCATGAGTTAAAATGCCGTCTCGGGATTCGAGGTCAATCCCTGTCTCTCTACTTCCGTCGTCCATTGACGAATCACATCAGTTCGAAAGTTGGTCGTGCCCGTACAGCACCGTATAGGCGGCCACTGATCGAGATGCAGCCCGCGAGAAAACAACTTTTAGGCGTGGACCATGAATTAAACATCGGGACATATCTTCTAGCCGGCGTCTTTCACCGGTGGAGAAAGTTCTAAAGATTCGATGGTTCTTCGTTTCGCCACGCGCGAAATTCGCGCACGTGTTTATTCTTTTGCGCGGGATTTGTGGGTCGCCGGAACATCTATCTATTCGTCTCTGTCTCATTATTTGCTCCGTGACAATTGATAAATCATTCAGACGCATAATGTAATGGATATCATTTTTTTTCTTATTTTGCCGTTTGTTTGCTTCGCGACGATTGGTAATCATTTAGGCGGACCCACCTTTCTTTGTTTTTGTTTCCAACAGTCAGAGGACTGTTTTAAGTTTGACGATAAGAAATAGCTTTGACGAAAAATATTTACACATATATTTATTTTATTTTATTTTCGTATGAAAATATTCGGTTAAATATACTTGGTTGTAATTAATTAATATTTGAATGTTGTAGAAATAGAGTATATATGTTTTTTTAGAAATAATAATAATAACGCATAACGTTATTGAAAAATATAAATAAAATAATTCGTTATATCAAAATATACGATTATGTATTAAAATAATAGATTTCATTATACAATTTTATTCTATCATCTTCTAATTTAAAGAAATTAATTTCAAAGAAAAATGTAATTTATCATAATGCTATAAATATTTTCTTTTCTATCAAATTTTCTAAGGTTGTACGATATATGTAAGATTATAATTATAAAAGAAATAATCACAAAGAAGATGTATAAATAAGTAGTCAGAAGTTCACATTAAAAGAACTAATTCGCGAAGCTTATGATAAAATGTATTTTATTATGTACTTTATTACGTAAAATGATATTTTCTTTCATTTTTTTTTTCGAAAGTTTTGGAAAAAGTTAATGTATTTAATTTTTTTTTCCTTCTAAAGTTTCTCTTCGAAAATCAAAAATTAAAATATTTTATCTTTTTTAAAATTCAAATCATCGTATGACACGTGAAATAAAGTGTAAAAGAATGTAATTATCTAACGTTTCACTTCTGTTCAAATCGTTTTGAAAACAGTTATGAAGTATAGAAGAAACTTCTACCAGGTCATGGAACCTGGTTTCCACGAACTCATGAATAATACATAGAATAGATAAGCAAATTTGTATTCATCTTTGAAATGATTCCATTAAAGTTAGGTCAAGAAAACATGTATTCAACTTGTATTGTGGCCAATATCAATGTTCATTTGCATTCATCGGTCAAAGATCATTTCGAAAATATAATTGAAAAACTATATATACATATATATCGACCTATTTTTCTTTCCTTTATCAAAACTTTAGCTTTTCTTTCTTTTCTCTGTTGCAGACAGTTAATTAAATTTCTTGTGGACAAATGCAGTTTTGACTTCAGCTCTGTGTTGAGAGACGAGTCCAGAGAGAATTTCAATGTTTACAGGTATGTATTTGTATTTGTATTTATGGAACTTGGAAATATTCTTAAAGTGATTTTTATTTGTAGAAAACATTATTATTCAAATATTTCATAGAATTAAAGAATTATTTATGCAAGTATGTTATAAATTAATGAATTTTTTCATATCATATTTATAAATTTTATATTTATTATGATTTTTTTAACATATTTTATTTATTTTGTAAAAATTTTACAAGGCCCAATCACTTGGTTATTCAAGTTTTTCAAGATAAGAAAATGTTATACTTATAAAAATATATATATATATAGTTATAAAATTATAAAAAATTTATAAAAGAAGAAAATTAAATTCTATTACTTCGGACCAATTATATACAAGATATTTAAGATGAAACAAGTAGAGAATTTTTCTTGCTTAAAAATGATAATATCATGGATTGCAAAACTAGAAGTCGTATAATTATGAAAGTTACTTGTTACAGATTCTAATGTACTCTATAAAACTGAATATTTGTGTCATTTGATAATTTTATTTTTGATTGATTTCTATATTGATTTTTATATGTTGATAAAATTTGAAAATCATTTTTTGATCCATCTCACATATCTCAAATCAAATCGTAAGACAAAGAGTTAAAAGATAATTTTAAGATTAAAAAATTTATTTTTCAATAAAGAATTATAAGGCATATAATTTTCCAAATGAAATGAATAGTCACAAAATAGACTGATTCTATGTCCATTATATTCTTTTTTAAATTTTCTATTTTCGTTTAAACATTTTATATCACAAGGTTTTTTGAAAATATCTCACAATGAGTTGGCACTACTTCTGTCACAGTTTATCTTAAATTCTTCACATTTCATCTTAAATTTTCCAAAATTTTTTCTTTGAACACCCTATATGCTCCAAAATTTCACGAAAATTCTATCAAAATGGTCTACTTCTTTTCGAAATCGTTCTTGGATCAAATAAAATGACTTCATCTCTATCTTCTATCTTTTCTTTTCGTTTGAACACCCTATATACACTCGAAAATTTCACGAAAACATCTCCGTCGAAATGAATCAAGGACGGATTACTTCTTTTCAAGGTCGTTTCCGGCGGGTTATGATTATCCAGCGCTCGGGGATGGTCAGTTCCATTCTGCATTACCGTTTCTACCGCCATCTCAATATCCCGGTCAAGAACCTACGCTTCTTTATGGAGCTTCGTTGAACGACACTCAACGGAACGGGTAATTTCGATGTTAATTTCGTGTTATTTACATTAAATCAATTTAATTATTAATTATTCATTTTTTATCGATAATAAGTAATCCGTATTCCTCTTTATTGTAGCTACAAGTACACCACACCGGCTCAAGGGAATCCGTTTCTGAGCGACGAGTCGACGTCTTTCAAATACCATTCTGAAGGACAAAGAGTTACGTCGGACCATCCCTTCTACACTCAATCTCAACCCTTGAACGCCTTTGGACAGACGCAAGCATGGTGGACGAACAGGTGATTATTGTGGTATTGAGTTGTTAGATAGTAATGGTGTTGGTTTGGTAAGGATTTAAAATAGTTTGAGATATAATGAAATGAAATGTTTTTATTAGAAAATATCATTTGAAAATATCATTTAACAAATATTATTGAAAATAGAAGATACAAAAATTTCAACATAAAAATCATGGAAATCTTATATTTAATTCGTGTTTGTATAGCTTTTAATACTTGTGTATGTCTTATTATGCGTAATAACGTGAGTTTAATACATTGTATCAAATTTAAAAAATGTTTATCAAATACTATTATTTGAAAATATTTATTAAATATTTATACTATTATTTGAATTTTCTTGGATTTTTCGATAAAAAATTTATATCAAAATAGTATTTTTATAAGATGATATATATATTTGAAAAACTATTTATTTAAATATTACTTTAAAAAAAAATTTAATCGCAAAATCCTGTATCACTTGAAGAAATATGTAATTCTTGAGAATGATTTTCATTCTTGATTTCATTTTTGAGAATAATGGCTTTCAGAATTTTAATAACTTTTGAATTTTTAAAGTTCAAATTTCAAAATTTATTTCTTTAAACAATAAAATTGTTATAATACTATAAAATTATAAAAGACAGAAATCAACAATAAAGATTCTAAATGAGTAACAATTACACGAAAGAAAATAATAAAAATGTATTATAAATAGTTTCGAAATCGATTTATAAAAATTCGTAAGTTGGAAAAAAATTGATGTAATTTGCATAAGAATGATTATTGATTTATTCATCATAAATTTTAAAAATTATGCTTTAAAATTAACAATTTGTAACAAGAATCATAAATTCAAATCTTCAATTTTTTGATTAAATCTTAAATTTATTTTGTATGCATACTTTTTACTTATTTTAATGTATTATTTTTTATAATTATATGATATTATAGATATTTTCTGAATTCTTGAATATCGAGAATCCTAACTGGTTAATTTTTTGAAAATACCAAAAAAAAAAAACCTAAATCTAATCAAAATTTAATTCGAATCTAATCTAAACACAATTCTTTTTTTTTTTATAAATTATTTTATTATAATTATTCCAAATCTAATACAATGCAAACCTAATTCAAATCTACATTAAATTTATTTTAAATCTAATTCAAATTTATTCTAAACTTCAGATGTATCAAAAATATTCTATATTTAATTTTTATATCTCAAAAATTAAGATTAAGTAACATTATAGAAAAAATTAATGATTGATATAAAAATCATATAAGATAACTTCTATTCTAAATATATAATTTAGAAATTTTTTTTATACAACTTTAATGAATTTTCGATATTATTTTTTAAAATTGTACAATTTTTTTTATGATTTATCAGTTTTAATTACGAATGAGAAATATAATATATTTCTTTATCCTTTAGGTATGTGCGAAACAGTAAACTCGCACCTCGTACATTATTTGAAAATCCCTTATTGAAATACAGCAAATTGAGCAAGAGGCGGCGAAAAAGGCAATCCGATCCTGATGCGATCTCACTTTGTCCAACTGAGACACAGTATATTACGCCGAGAGCGGCTCTGAATAATCAAGGAAACTGGATGTATGTAGTGAATCTTGAAGATAAGAATCAGAAATATTCGCAGGTAGTAAGAAGTGAAAAATGCACGTAAGTCCTTATTTAATTTTTCCTAAATGAATATAAAATTTGAATTTTAATTGTATAATTTTTTAAAATATTCAGCTTGAATTTGAAAATGAAATTTGAGAAAAAAGAATTAAAATAAATATATTTTGAAAAAATAATTTGATATTATTGTAAGGTACAATGTTATTTTTTTCGTTCCTTTTATCATTATAATGTCATTTTCAACATTACCGATGCAATGTTACAGAATAAGATTATAGCATTAGTAGTGATTGGAATTGAAATTAAATTTTATACAAAATCAGTAATTAAGTATAAAGCAGAATATTTTATAATCATAAATAAATTGTAAAATTTAACTGAAATTTTCTTTAAAAAAACTATTAATTTTTTATCTATTTTTTTATCTCTAATATCTTATAATATCTGAATGGAATCGTTGATAAAATTGTAGATAATGTAGATTCCAAATAAAATATTAATTGCTAATTAAATTTCTAATTGTTGCTTTTTTGTTTTTTATTTATTATATATATAATTTTTTTTTATTTACGTTAAGTTTATAATATACTTATGCGTTATGCTAATTTATTAATCCTATTTATTGCTTCGTACTCAAATGGTAAATCAACATTGAATTATATTTAAACATTCATAAATTTTAATATCATATAATTAAAATGATTCTTAAGTTAAAATGATACTTTAGAAAAACTAAAATAAATAAATATAAAATATAAAATAAAAATAATAAATACTATCTAAATATATATTAAAATAATAGAAATAAATATTATTGATAAAAAAATAGATAAAAAATTATTAATCTTTAAAATAAATTTTAATTTTTTATTAAAATTTTAGAATATCTTAAATTTTATTTTATTTTTTCTTAGAATGAGTGTCTGCAATGGTATTTGTTCTGTTCCTACGGGATACACCAGCAGATGTCAGCAGCAGTATGTTCAAAAGCGATTAGTAGCGTTACAAGGAAACGGAAACCAGTTGTATACTGACATATTTTGGTTCCCTCATGGTTGTTCATGTGAAATTATTCCAAATTACTGAGAAATGGATTAATTGAATCTTGAAAACGAGAAAAATTTAAAACAATTACATTTTCGTATGAAAATGCAATATTACGAAATCTTCGAGATGAAGAAATTATCTCGTTAATTTGAGCTTTGAAAGCGGAGAATTGCCATGGTAGTTAATTGATGAAGCAATGAACGAGACCCGAAATATATGAATTTCGATGTCCTACATGAATAAACAACTGAATATAATTAATTAAGAGGAAAATGCCAATTTATATAGAAAAAAGGAAAAAACAATTAATTCTAAATATTAATTAATTTTATGCTCTTTTTCTATTTTTTTAATTTTATTTTTACTATTTTATTAAAAAGATATCTTGATAAAGTAATAATAATTTAATAGCACTAAAATAATTTAAACATTTATAAATTCATAACTTTAGTGAGACACTTCGTACAAGGTTTTCTATAGTTGGTAATGTAGATAAACATATACATATAAATTAATCGATTACAATTTCGTAATTACAATTTCCATAAAAATAAATTTCAATATTATTTAAATATGTAAAAAGTCATGGGAAAATAAAAACATATTTTTATAACTATAATCATAAGAAATAGTATTTTCTTTGATCAAAAGATGTCGTTATTTACACCGAAATTTAAATCCTTACAAAATCTCGTTCGAATTGAGTCGAATATTAATAATAATAACATGAATTTTATGCTTCTTAAAATCGCACGTGTCACGCGCTTGTTATATATATAACTCTTGCATCCCTTCATAACAATTATCGATCTCGATAACAATTTTCAACTATTCACCTCATATCTCGCGAAAAATAAAAAGAGTTTTTCACTAATTTGTTCACGAGCCATCGATCGACGTTTGAAACGAATTCATGAAAACTGTTCCTAAAGTATAATAGAAAGTATAAGCTATTAGTCTTGCCTTCCGTATTTACGAATCGCATGAAATACTCGTGAATATTCGCCATTAGACAAACGATAAAAGAATAATATTTTTGTCTATCGTCATGTAAGATTCATTTCCATGAACAAAATTATTCTCGTGTCGACGTTTCGGATAAATTTCTGAAGCGAAACCCGAGCCAAATTTCCAATTTACGCGCGATAGACGTTGTTGAATATCGCGTGGAAAGCAATTCATGGCCGATCGTAACTGTTTATCAAGGACAGAGAGGGTGATATAGGTTAAGCCGCGTAGATCGTTGCGAAACGCGGATGCGACCTCGCAAACCATGAAAATAAAAGTATCTCGACTCTCTCGCGTCGACCGTGATAAAAAGGACTAAAAGAAGGAAGACAAGAGGGCGGTGTCGGGGGTGGAACCGATGGAGGAGGGACGAGGGGATGGGGAAATAACTGCCAGGAGGTCAGACACGCGCAGGATGCGCGGAATTTTCTCGCTGCGAGGCCACGCACACCCTTCCTTCTACGCGGCTTTTTTTACGATCGTTCGACTTTTCAACCCTCCACTATGCCACGTTTCCGCTCCGTTCGATTCCCATCGAACGAATTCTGGAAAACTTGGAGAGAAACGACGAATTTTGTTTAGTGAAAAAGAGAATGGAAAATTTTATTATTCGTGGAAAGTGGACCAGTTTTCTTTCATAGTGAAAAAGAAAATCGAGAACGAAAGATTCTGATGAATAATAATTAAAATGGAGTTCGATATACTCATAAATCCAGATTAAATTCATGTACAAGATTTATTTCGTAAGAATCGAATATTATTGACGATATATATGCATTAATATTGCCACTTTTAAAAGTCTTAATAAATACTTTGATATTATAATGAATTTCTTATAAATAGTAATGAAAATAATTTATTTCGTTGAAATGTATGAAAATCATTCAATAGTGATCAAAAATAATTTTCATTTCTTTCATTAGAACATTATTAACATTTTTTTTTTTTTTTAATTATGACACAATATAACACATTATTAAGAAAGAAAAATAATAATACAAGATAAAAGAAATTGATCAGTATAAGACAACTTTTATAATAAATTTTAAAAAAGTACAAGCAATAAACAATTCTTACAATTTTTATTTTAATTTTTATTGGTTTACGATATAATTTCATGAAAAACAGAAGAATGATGTTTCTAAATAAATTAAATAAGAATATAATTATTTAATTTACAGTTAGATCATACACGAGAATTGCAATACGTACTTTCAAAAGTAATTGAGAAAATTAATTTTAACTAAACGAATAAACAATTTCTTAAAAGAACATACTCAAGTTTCGAATGTATTCGATTTTATCTATCAAGGTTGAAATTTGTTCGCGATTTGCTTAGCTCCATCACTACTAACAAGAATTCTAAAGATTAATGAATTTTTTCAATTGAAATAATAGAACAGAAACGTGATATACGATAAATGAAGAGTGATAAGTTCGCAAGATAGGGAAAATCATATTGAATCAAAAGGAACCAATGCACGCGATCGAAATATCATCAAGGGCACAGAGGGCTCGCATTTCCGGTGCCTGTCCGCTCTATCAGATCACAATAGCGAAGATTCGTGGCCTACTCCTTCTAATCGGTATTAGGAAAATACTTCGAGTCGATCTAATGCGAAATGAAAAAATTCCTTCGTTCAATTTGCGCAGAAAAAATTTATACTTGCTGCCTAAGTAATGAAATAAAATCTTTCGAACTTCGACTTAAAAAGAGACTTCATTTTAAAGAAATTGTTTAGCATTTTATTTTATCTAACAAATCGACGCCTTCTTAAAATACATTATGTTGTCCTTTTTTTCGTTTATAGAAAAATAGAAATATATTTCTCTAAAACTTATCATTATAATCGAAGAAATTGGATTTTACTTGGATATGAGAAACTACTCCGGAACTTTCGCTCCAAATTTTATAAAAACTTTCCGCATTGCTATTCGAACGCTGGAAGAAAATTAAATATCCCAGTTTCTCGAATTCTCCGAACGAAGGGAAAGGGAAATATACGAGATGATCCATTTTTTCATTCAAATAAAATATATCTCAAATGTATACTTCCTCCGCTTAAAGATTAAAGTATCTTCCGACCGATTACAAAGCTTGTGTATCCTGTAAAGCGGTGCTTAGACTACGCCCATGCACGTATTCTTCTGCGAGAATCTCGGCTTCCGGCTGTTCGTGAAGGCAGCAGGAAAAATTGAAAGCTTCTCCCTTGCTTCCTCTGCCCCCTGTGCCAGTGTCCTCGGGGTGCGTACGCGTACACGCATATACGACCGCGTAAGTGCGTGCTATAGATTTCGTTCTCTCTCTCTCTCTCTCTCTC